AAAAGAGTGACAAAAGTGGGCCATTTGTCTGGCATAAACCCATTAATCAGTACTAGCTACTTCCACCATCATATTCGACCAACTGAAACATTTGAACTTTGTAGCTCGACGAACCTACTAAAGGTGTAAATATTCCTCTATCTTGAGACTTTGATAGTCTTTTTGTACATTTCATCTTCGTCAGTTTGATGATCAACATACATGAGCCCCTCCTGAGCTGAGGAAAATCTTACACAGCAAACATGGCCACCAGTCATATTTGATAACTCAACTTAGTTTTGTCCATAAACGTGAACACAAGAACAACATGCAGGTGAGCCTGCTGACAAGTGTACAGAGAAATAACTGATTTATCTGTCCCAAAAAAAAATCATCAAAAAGCTTCAAAATAATTCACTATGAAAGTTTAACTGGGTGATCTGAAATTAATGCATGATCTAAAAAACCTTTGTTTCCTTTGAACTGACTGAATGAAGCTACAATGTGTCAGCCTCCACAAAAAACAGAACATTCTTAATAACCGAAAGAACATCATTCTGAATCAGCACTCAATATTGAGGAGTTTAATGTTAATGAAACTTCAGTCATCTTAAAACGCCCATCACAACTTGGAAGAATTAATTCTAAATGTGAACTTAACAGTTACTGATTACCTAACTCAGAATAATTAATGTCTATGGCGATACATTTGTAAATTTGTGACTTAACAACCTGTATTATAGTATAGGGATATAGACATAAACAAGAAATATTGAACCTTTGAAAAAGCATACCACTGCGTCCCAACATGTACATTTCACTGACTGATCAAATCTTCAAGATCTACTATGTTGTAATTAAATATCTTCAAGTTTATTGTGTTACCAAGTTTACCAACTGCTCAATAATTATGTCTGCATGCACACTCTGCAGTGATCAAATGCACTAGTTCCTGTAACATCTGCTATTCATGTCTTAATTTTTCTCTAATCCTCCTCATCAAGCTAAATGATAAGACAGTAACTGAAAAGATGAGCTTTGTATGCTGCATGTAAGTTAATGTACCAGGTAAATGTCAAATTCTCTTACTGAATCTGAAGTCATAATAAAATGATGGTAACAATTATTGTCAATTATTTATGTTTCTGTATTTCATTCTTTTTTTCTCGACACTTCTTCCCACAAGTTTAACATAACTTAGCTGCAAATAAGATAATTTTAAAAAAATAATAAAAACATAGAAATAAACTTACAAGCTCTTGCATGTCGTTTTTGATCGCTAAAGTTGTGATAACAGAACGGATGTCATTAACACACGCGATGCAGCAGATTGCGGCCAATGGAAAAAGTTAGCTTAGGGTTTTGAAGTTCCGTGAAGGCTTTGATTCTATGCTTACGTACTTCATACTCTAGAAAACAATCATAGAACAGGAACAAAGCAGTTGCCCTTGTAGAAGATACAGGGACCCTTTGCTGGGTTATTGTGTTGTGTTCTTTGGCCAGAAACTATACTCTCACAACGAACTCTCTTTAACCAGGAGTAGAAATGGAAACTGGTGAACTATTAACCCGTTAAATCCTATGAGTTACCAAGACAGAATTTCACCTTACTATATCTATACGATATCACGTATACAAGTGATGAGAATAAAGGAAATTATTGGATTACTAATTGATCTTATATTAAATTCTTCAAAATTAAATAATAAGAATTGTTTGGTAAATAGTGAGGAGAATTGCAAATGAGATCTTGGGAGTTTAACGGTTAAGGAAGCCAGACAAAATGATGGGGGTAGTGGGGGACATTGGCGTTTTTCAAAGCAGTTTGTTGGGGGCACTCTTGTTCAACATATTCATCTATGATTTAGATTTTGTTGTTCAACCATAGTCACTAGCTAAATGTGATCATGGTCAGACACCATGGTCACCATCATAGTCAACCATGGTTGACTCTGAAAAAACATGGTACCATGGTCAACCTGATACTGGGGTATTATCCTGGTTTGTCTCTGATCACTTAACAGTCATTAGCAAGAAAACCTAAGCTATGATTCTGGGCAACTCTACTCAAGAACCTGCTCTTTGTATTGGTGATTTTCCTATTAAAATAAATCACTTCTCGAACATTCTTGGTATCTACATCAACAACAAGCTTTCCATCAAAGATCACATATCAGCCACTATATCAGTTTATGTTATAATTGAAGCTTGCCGTTTACCTTCAAGGTATACAATGCGTAAATGCATTACGATCCTTGCCTGCCCCAATCTGCTACTCGGCTACTTTAGAACGGACGCTGTAGTCCGTGTGCTTCCTTCGAATCTAATATAATTATAAAAAGACCGACATTCAACAATAAAGAGCATATACATATGTTTATAGCATCTTGTTTCACAAGAAAATGGAATTTAACTGTCAAGGTATGTCATAAATCGCTTTTGCTGTAACGGCCATGTATCAAACTGTAATGTGGCCACACTATTAAACTATCAACTACGTACAGACTCATGTGACCGTTACATCATGTGGCCATGATGTAACGCCTATAAAAAGCGTCTGCCGTTTTATTACGTCCATATTGAACGGAGTTCGTAAGGCTCTCACTGGTCGGCGACGGTGCCAAGATCGACTAATGTTATAATTCGTTGGGATTTGTTGGATTCTTTCAGGTAACTATAAGTATTATTATAAACTTAACTAATTAATAAGTACACGTAAAGAAATTCCAAATCTAGAGCTTTAGTGGCCCTGAAAAGGGCCTGAGAAACATGATATTGTGTAACGTTTTCAAACACATAAAACGTGTGATCTTCAGGAAAATTGTGAGACCGTGTCGAAAACTTCGTTTTTAATTCTCGATTTTGAAAATGTTAGACAACCGTAGGAAAATAAAAAGGAATGGGCGGAATTGATAAAAAGCCAGGTACACGTGGCTGCTCATCAATCTTTCTACTGCTCACAGCATGGCAAGTTACAACACAGCCCGCTTCGTTTACCCATACAATACTGGTTCGCGAGCGGCGATCAAAGCTTCATTATAGACCAACCTAGCAGACTTAGTAATTTTTAGGACAAAAACGACGCGACCAAGCCTCATCACTTACTGATTACTGAGAGTTAGTTTTGATGTTGGTTTTAGAATTGTTGTTAAGTTGGATTTAGAGTGGAAGACGGACCAGGTCACTTCCTATGAGAGAGTCCTCTCCAGAAAAGGAGAAAGGAGCCATCGATCACGGATGTTCTTAGGAAGAGGCTACGAAAAAACCTCCAATGAAATATTTTGTAATATGAACCATGTTCAAAACGGAAAACTACTCACGCCCGCCTAATTTATGTAAATTATGTCTCGAAAACTGTATGCTCACTTAGATGAGATCGTCCATCCTGAATTTGAAGTTAAAATGTCACACTTGCATAAAACGGACGAAATATTTTCATTAATACTATTATACTATTCGCCATCGGTCAGCTTGCGTTTCGACGTTTAACACTTAAAATTTAGCCATGGTCGATTAATAAGTAGGTAAAATCGCTTTCAGAACAGAAACATGTATTTTCATTTTTATGGTGATACGTCTCTTTTTATTGCAGGTAACTTGCTTCTAAATTTATTGTCAAATTTTATTTGGTTTTATTTATGTGATTATGGTTTCAGTTACACGCTAGCTCTGAGGGCTATGGCTATCGGTGCTAACCTTTCATGTGTTAGATTTGGAACTTGGATTGATCACTTAATCACCGAAGAAACGCAAACATGGGCAACAAATATTACTGAAAAGTTGAACTTGATGATGAGAAATAGCTTCGTGGTGATAGCAAAAATGATAAAAAAATGACTTTAAGTGAAGAGGTCATGTAGTACCGAGTGACTGCAACCCAGTCATCTGAAACTTCACGCGCGGTTGATTCATCACGCTCACGTGACCCTCGATTGTGGATAAACACCACGGTGACATCGGTGAATGAACTTTCACAGTGTCCTCCTCACTGAATTCGTCTTGATCGCACAGGTTATCGTCAGGTGAGGTGAGCGTATTTCTCTATTATTTTAAATTTTTTCTTCCTCGGAGCCTCTTATGAAGTGATTTCCCTAGAGAAAATTGTTCAATTCAGTGCACGCGATCGGGAACGAACGAACAAGATTCCGTTGGTTAGCTGTTTTTCCACGTGCCCCTTCCGTTCTAAGATGGGTGCAGCGGATTTGGGAGGTTCAGAAAAAATCCCTCGAATTGAATGTGCATTTCTGGGTTGCTACATTTTCGTTTCCACTTGCTTACATGAAGTAGTCCCCAGGTGACAGAAATACACATCTTTATGTGTTATCTGGAATTTTTTACGCCGAAAATTTTGCGCAGATAGCAAACCTGTAAAAAAAAAAAAGTCGCTAATTGAGTGAGCAGCACCACATCCTTTCCCCATTTCCTTTCCACTTGCAAACATTTCCTCGGGTTTAAAAATACATACTAATCTAGAAGTACACACTCTTCTAAAAATTATGCAAAATTTCCCAGTTTCCATGTACGAACGTGGCACTATATATCGTTTCCAATTTTCTTTTTGTGGAGGCAGAAGAAACCATGATGAATTCAAGCTAACGCGATCCTTGTTTCTGTTTCTAATGTAAGTCAGCCATAAGAAGCGATATAATGTGAAACCTTTGAACGAAAATCGGAAACAAATCAGATCAAAAGTTCGCGTGATCTTACAAAGGGAGACAAAGCACACAAACTATTAGTGATGTAACTCCATCTCGCTTTAAAGGACCTGGAGGCTAAATCTACTTTCGGAATACCTTCATTTTTTCACACATTAACGATTATTGTAGAAGTAGCCTGCTTGCAAAATTTTACTTATGGTGCGATAAACCAGAAGGAAAATTGATTATTTTAAAACCATGATCAAATGGAAGCTATGAGTATGCAAAAGGAAAAAAAAAGCTTGGTTTTCTTGAATTTTACGTTCAGACATATTTTCGCAGGAGTTTTACTGATTTTTTTTGTTACAGATTCCAGAGATGGATAGTCAACCCAATCCCGGGCCTAAAATCCCGCAAGAGGATTTAGATGAAGAGGTACAGTTTATCATATTGTGAAAACATGATGTTATGTACATAAGCGATACAAATCCAAACGAGTACACCGGCCGGGTGCTAGGAGTTGGATTCCCCTATTCCGTTCTGTAACGGACAAAGTGTGAAGCTTTGATTGTTGTGACTCTCTATACGCCTTTGGTTTTGTCATTAACAAGGCTGCAGCTGGTACAGAACAAATTAGACAGACATTTTAACAAAAGGGTATCACAATAACTGTTGTGTCCTTTTTCAAATCTCTCTTCACAACTTTTGGCCACATTGCTACTTCAATATGCAGTAGAGATGTGTATTGTTAATCTGAGTTTAGATGTATTAACCACATGTTCCACCTTTTTGACGACAAAATAAAAGGCAGATATACACTATGAATATTTTTGGATGGTTAAATATTTTAGACCAGGAGTCCTTTTAACTTACACAAAGTAGCGTAAGAGAAACAATATAGATACATTCTTGTCCCTTGTGTTCCTGCAGTTCCTCTACTTATATCCTTGCAAAAAATTAATATATTATAATTTGGTCCATTTTGCTTTGAAATCTAAACCCTTTGGATGGAATCACTGATTACTTCATTCAAGAAAGCTTGCTCTTAAACCTCTTTAAACAGATTGAAAACCAACAAGGTGTTATAATTGCTGAAGAAATCTTCAACTTAGAAGAAATTACACAGCAACTAGAAATGATGAAAGTTCTACTGTCTTTACTGCTGCTGTGTCTCTACTTTCACAGGTAAATTTTGAAAAACAAAGTTCATTTACTAAGAAAACATTTCTGAGGTATAGTTGTTTTACTTGAACAAAAAAGTAATGCAAAATGAAGATAAAAAAAAAAGATTAATGGCAGTAAATTTGCTTCGGTTATTCAAATGTTTTTGCCCTTCACCTTAATAGACTTAATTGGTTTTTTTTTATTTCCTTCCCTAACGGTTCTGGAATGCTGCCATGAATGATTTAAATTTTAAAAAATGGTAGAAGCCATTGACAAATGTAACCTAATAATTTGGTACATTACCTTTTATATCTTTAAATTAAATGTTGTTTATGCTACTTGATCATGATCTTGAAAATCTATTCATGATTGCATATCACTTAGATTTTTGGGTGAAAATCAAAAGCATCATATTGGTTATTAAATATTTTTATCAAGTCTACTTTGGTGTTTAAGTTATAGAGGACCTTGAGTGAAGGTTCATCATTTGGTAATCCTCACTGGTATAAGTCTTTTGTGACTGTTTTTTAAGTCAGTAAGGGACAAGCGTTTTACTGTTGTCTCAACTGCTTTTGCAACATATATTTTTTTCCTTGTCATATAATTAATTTAAATGAGGAATTATAGATGATACCGCCTAAAAGGCTTATCTATGGCTAATTTTGTAAAAAAAAAGGTGCTGAAAAAAACATATTTACAAGTAAATATAGGGTGGTTAAGAATCCCAGTTTTCTTGTTGGGGGATACCAGTTGACAATTCATAACTCAGCAAAGGAATTAAATTTTGAACATGATGATCAGTCAACTAAGAACAAATTCTGTGGGTGCATGATGGGAAGCTCAAGTTAATCAGTTGTTCAGTCTTACCAAACACCATGCCAAGGTGTCTATGCTCAGCTCACTCAAATGAATGTTTTGAAGACATTGTGAAAAGTGACTTGTGACATTGTTTTATTCATTTTCAGCGATGCTCCCTTTGAGAGAGATTAGACTCATCAAAATTTGACAAAGAAAGAAGGTAATATTACACTTACATCACTTTTATGCTGATCAATTTGACTATCACCTGAGCCTGGGGGGTGAGGAATTTGAACCTTGCCTGGCTGGGGTGGGGAATTTTAACTGTGTCAAGTCTTTCCAATGGAATACAGGTCTCTTATCTTTCACTATGGTGGTTTTAAAGGTGAAGAGTTCATTTGAAAGAAAGGGTTCACAAGGGCTAGGTTTAAGCTTGGTCAATGAGTAGAAAGTCACAGTTGTTGCTGATTTTGCTTTTTACCAACTGACCATCTTATCTGGCATTTAAGAAAGGAATTTCAACAAAACAATCTTCAAAAGTTCAAATGCCCAGCAAGAGAGGGGGGGAGGGGCATGTTGAAGCTTTGAAATGACCAATGCCTATTTCTGGGGAAACTCAGAGCCAATAACATTTTTAAGCCCATACATTTCTTCCTGAGCTAAAACTTGACCCCAGAAATGTTGGATGGGTAGAACACACTTAAGAAAAGTCCTTTTTCTTCTTACATAACTCAGTTAAAGTAAAAAGGAGTCTAACAATTGCTTTTGTTACAGAGAAAAAATTTATACCTGTGTTTTATACCTATGTTTGAGACACAATTCCACAAGTCATTATGGTATATTGATGTTTTGCTGAATTGATGTAAAAACTCCCATTCTTAGTGGTCACCTTTTTAAATATAACACAGAATTTGAATACAGGGTTGTACTTCATCCAAGTTCACTTAATGTTTTCTTTTTATTTTATTCAGGTTGATATCAAGAGCGTAGATAGCTTTGCTGCAAAGAAATATTTTCTAAGTCCTATTAATTAGTTGTTAGTATTTGCTGCCTTAATTTTAAAAGATAAAATTTTAGAACATGGCAAAGGCTTTCATTTGTATTATCCATAAAATATATGGCACTTTTATATAACTCAGCTTTGAAGTTAGCCTTTTTTAAGTCTCGAAATTGTAAAGTATTTTTAGTAGTTTTCACTGCCATGCTTTTAATAGATTGTACTTATGCCCAGTGTAAGGCTGACTTGTTTATATTGTCGCTAAACTATGGTTTGGCTTTGAAGTAATCCTTTGTCAGTGTCATGAACTTTAAGTGAGTCAATTAAAATGCATTTTAGTGGTTTTTGCTGCCATGATTGTCTTCGTGTCCTGCTAAAGGCTTTAATGCAATACTCATGTACTTTATACTCTAGAAAATAACCTTATTCTGGTTGTCATGACTTTCATCTCCCCTCAAAATGATCTTTACTGAATTTGTTACATTGGTCTTCAAAAGAGATACAAACAACAGCCTCCATTGGTGTCACAATTATGGGAAAAGGAGGGGGGAGGGAAGAGGATAACCTGCAATGGACTTGATCCCCATCCAGTGGGATTAGCAATATTTTTTGTCCCTCAGTTCAACAGAACTGGGATAAGCTGCAGCTGGATGGGCTGCATGGCTCAGGTGTAGACCTTTTCAAATTCTGTACATCTGGAAAATTTTACACTTTACTTTCCTTGTGTTGCAATTTTTAACAATCTTATATTTATTAATTTCCATGCTGCTTTAATCCCCTCTTACTCCTCAATGGAAATATATTTTACAATTGTGTTATTTTACAGAGTTACAAAAAAATGTTTCCTGTTCTTCCTTAACAAACAAATTTCAGCAAAAGACAGTTTGGCTCATTTGGTTTTATTCGTAACACATTTTGTTGTCTGGTGAATTGAATTATCTGTTCTGTGGCTGAAATCTCATGACAGGTCATAAGTTTACAAAGTGAAGTAAAGTAGGATTGATCTTCAAGGTGTCTATTGAGAGCAATGAACTTTGTTCTAATAGGAGTTCCACAAGAATGGTACAGGGGAGTTTAAGAAATAAATTAATCCTTTTCTGGGTTTGTGTTATACCAAAATTTGATCTTCATTTATATCAAACAAGTACGTGACAGCTGGACATTTGGCACACCCAACCATGCAAAAAGTACATTCTGCGCTAAAAAATAGCTCTTGTTTCAACTGATGTACTGTTCCAATCACATGTCTTCAGTGCTCCATTTATATGAATGTCTGTGCAGCAGCTTTGTTTGCTAACATGGCAAATCATTTGTTCTAAAAGCTATTGGAGCAGTTCACACCATCCTAGTGGTATCCTGGTCTGATGTTAAATCTGTTTGGGGGAGGATCTGGGCCCTTGTACACAGGCTTTTTTTTTTTAAAGGAAAAAAAAGGGGAAAAATATATATATGTTAAAAAAAAACATGGCAGAGTATTGATTACTAAATTTATTTGTTCAAAAGTGCAAAAATAAAAAAAATCCTTGATGCTACTTGATTTAAGTCAAGTGAGCTTCAAATTAACCCTTTAATTCCCAGAAGTGATTAACATGGAACTTCTCCCTATGATATTCATACATTATCCTGCAAGCAGATGTTGAGAAAACTTCAACTTATTGGGTAGAAGTTGTTATCTTGATCTAACACTAAATTCTAATAACTGATTTACAAGGAAATGTGTGGCAGCTAGAGAGGAGAATTAACAACAAAATCTTGGGAGTTAAAGGGTTAAACCCTTCAAACTCTAACATCAGTGAGCATATTTTCCATACTGTTCTCTATACATTACTTGAGGTGCTAACAAGGAAAATTTGTTTGTCAATCAAGAGCTTCTTGTTTGAATGAGTAGGTGATCATTTTCTTTATTCTTGTGGCTTCAACATTTTAATCAGCAATGAAATTGTACAGAGGAATTAAATACCAGTCACTTTTAGAGGTCAAAGGGTTAAAGGGACAAAAGTACCTAACAGTTAAGATCTCATAAGTAACTCTCCTCACTGTTTGCCATACAGGTGGAAAAAAAACAATGAAGCAAAATAATGTAGCTTACACCTCTTATATTCAGATGAAACTTTACTTTAAACAGTGTTATTTCCTTAAGTCTGTTTAACATCAATAAAACTCAACATAAATGATTTTCTGCCTGTTGGAAAATCCTTATTTCATCAAAGCCTATACATTATGAATGCTTTCTTTTTACACACAGGCTACATGCACAATCTTATTCCAGACATGTGCTAATCAGCTAATCCGTGGCAGTGTCTTCTCACGCCTATCGTTATTTGGAACAAAAAGAAATTCAAATACGAACACGCAGAGCAAAACATCATGAACTCGAATCAAAGGGCTCTGAGAGCCAGCTCATTCATGTAATGGATAATTTTTATTGTATCTGTTATTGCTGGTCATGGGAATTATTTGGGGTGACCTCCCATTCAGAAGCTAATTTCTTGGCCTATGTCCCCTCCTGTGAAGCCCCATTTTTTTACATGCATCTCCCCTAAACCCCAGGAGGATCCCCATAGAATTCTAGTAGTCCCTTAATTGAGATTTTTCTTTATCCTCATCTCTTGTCTGCTTTAATATTGTATTGATATTGCATGTAAGGAGAAATTCTGTTTTAGTCACTTGTGGGAGTTGAGGGGTTAAAGTAAATGTGCATAGGACAGGAATAGGACCCCTCCCTCTGCTAACCTCTAATCAATCACACCTGTCCAGCCAGATCATTTGATTTCTCAATTCTCAATTCTCAGCGGATTTTGGCTCAGGTTGGCCCAGTCACTAGTTATAACTACAGAAACATAATACCTGGCTGGTGTGGCTAGATGAGAAACTTTTATAATGAAATATATTTACTGTTAAAAGTACAGTGTTCTTTTTTCCACATTGTGATTTCAAAAATCATAATGGTATGATCTTTTCACATACAGGATTTCCCCTCACATGAAAACATTCCTTCATATCATGAAGCCAGTGCCTGGTAGGTCTTTCACTTCATGAAGAAAGGAGCTCAAGAACTTTTTACAAGTTCCTATTCCAGTCATAGTTTTACATCAAAGTTAGATATACATGATTATGATGTTCTTAAGAAAAAAGCTATGCTGCAGTGGTTTGAGTTTGTCAGCAGTCTCTTCCCTTGATCTTAGATCATATTATCTACAGTGCAATATGTCTGTTTCACTGTAAAACTGATCTGGAAGCGCAAACAGCTGGGGAACTAAAGTGAACCTCCTGTCAGTGAGCAATGAATCAGCAAGACAAGTGGTTTACCAAATGGAAAACTGTGCCTTGGTTACGATCACATGTCCTCAGCACTCCATTGATAAGCATCTGTTTGTGACACAGACCTATTGGCTAACTTAGGAAGTCTCTTGTTCTCACAGCCACTGGAGTGGTTCACTCCATCCCAGCGGTATTCTGGTCTGATGTTAAATATGTTTGGAGGAGGGTCTGGGCCCTTGTACACAGGTTTCTCTGTCAAAGAAGAAAAATCAACCAAAAAAGGGAAAAAAGATATGTGTGGCATGGCGGACTATTAATCACCTCAATTTATTTGCCCAAAAATGTAAATGAAAATATTACTAAAGCTTCTTTATTTGAGCAGGGTAAGCTTCAAATTAAAGGGACAATTTTCAATTGTTTCCCGGTGATTCACAACATTATTGCTTAGCTTTCTTATTCAGTCATTGGTTGTGACTTTCCCTGAATTCAGTCTCACTTTGTGCTAAGCTATCACCAGTAATGTAGTTTTTCATTTTAAACTGGGTTTACGACATTTTCTGGTAACCTTATTCTGGCACATTCACCCGCATCTACCCTAGTTCTACCTCATTAACCCTCATCAACCCCAATTTAGCCTCGATTTATCTTGTTGATCTCTATTTACCCTAAGTTAGCCATGTTCTACCACGTTAACCCACATCTACCCTAAGTTAGCCATGTTCTACCACGTTAACCCACATCTACCCTAAGTTAGCCATGTTCTACCACGTTAACCCACATCTACCCTAAGTTAACTATGTTCTACCACGTAGCCATCTACCATCTACCCTTGGTTAACCATGTTCTTCCACGTTAACCGCCATCTACCTAAGTAAACCACGTTTCCCACGATAACCCGCATGTACCCTTAGTAAACCATGTTCTTCCAAATTAACCCACATCTACCCTAAGTTAGCCATGTTCT